CACATCATCATCATCATCATCATCCTTCACCTATTTCTTGACTTCACCCACACCTGTCCTCTCTTTCACCCGAAGACCGCCCATGCGCTTCACTGTAGTCCAAGCCCACCAACTATGGTGGCTGGGCTATGGCGCTGCCCTCAGCAGCGCCCTCCTCCTCTGCACGACCGCACGTGATGCACCTCGCCTCTCACCGCTAGCAGCAGCCTACGAGCATGAGCTCCAGCAGCGCTGTGCCCGAATGCGCCAGCCAGGGCCGAGCTCTTTGCTTTATGGAAAAGAGTTGGCCAGCTCTCGCAGCCGGGCTGGGCTGGCCTGGGCCCAGAAGCTTCCAGAAGGCCCCAGGAGGCTGCCTGGATGCAGCAGCTACTGGGCTGTTGGGCCTCGTTCGGTTGGGCACCCAACTGTCTCTGTATGAGGCTGCAAATCATGCCCAGGGCCTGCATTCTTTGGAAAGGCCCGGTAGGCCGTGGAAATGTCTATGTTGCTCGGCCCGTGTTTCTTTCAACCAACTGGCGCGTCGCAACTGCCTGGACCCCAAATATGAAATTGACAGTCGAGGGCCTCTTGCAAAAAGCCAGGCCCGCGTTCACTTAGGGCGGGCACCTCCGCCTTCACTTAGGGCGGGCACCTCCGCCTTCACTTAGGGCGGGTAATGCTGCAAACAGGGCCCCATAGGCCTTCCGAGGACCCTGTTCCTCGCATTAAGGGGGTATTTGGAAAATTACCCCCCCCCCCCACAAAAAAAGAGTCTCTCTCTCTCTCTCTCTCTCTCTCTCTCTCTCTCTCTCTCTCGTGTCATCCCTTTCACGATCCATGGTCGATATGCTTCTTCTTCCTCCTCCGTCCTCTATCCTCTATCCTCCTGCATCACACAGCACATCTCGTTCCATGCCCTCATCCCTCGACACACATGTCCCCTGTCTCGATCATACACTACGCGGCAATGTGTGGGTGTGTGTGTGTGTGAGAGAGAGAGATAGAGAGAGAGGTTGGCCTCACGCTACTTCCAAGGATAGGATGAGTAAAATCGGATGAGAGCATGGAAATGTACACGCGTTCATTTGTGCAGCATGTGCAAATTCTTTCCGCCCGCCCTCGCGCTTTCCCTGCATCGGCAACCGTCACGCCCTTTTTTCCTCAGGCCCTGTGGCATTTAGCCTCGCCGCACGTGACGGCCTCCTCCAGTTCCGGCCGTCCCGCGATTTTTTGTCTGTCCACAACTACGGTGTGACAGCGGGAGCGCTGCAACTTTAAAGGGTATAGAGAAATACAGAATCAGAATTTTTTGAAATTTCTAAGTCTATTGTCTGCTAGTTTTCTGATTGATGATGTTTTACTCTAAAGGACTGCAGGTTCTGCAGCCATGGCCAGTGAGATCAAGACAACACAAACAATGGTGAGTCTGCAACCATCCACAAGACAGGGGCTCGTTCGACACTCCTCGGGGCGTCCTCGGGCCCCGAGGACGATTCCTCGGGTCGCCCGAGGAAATTGTCGCCTTCGTTCCACTCATCCTCGGAGTCGACCCTCGAGGACGATTCCTCGGGGCTCCCGCGGCCCGGATTTATATATGCACAAGCGGACGCGGGGGTGGGGTTGACGGTGGTCCACCGAGTTGTGTCCGTGCGGACGACACTGGTCCACCTTTGTTGGCCGTCGCGATTTCGAATGAGGGCGGGAAACGAAAAAACAACAACACCGGGGCCCTTGGAAATGGAGCGGAGCGCTCCTGTTCAAAATTTGAAATTTGAAATCAGGCTTTGCGATCGGCGACGTGTGGAGGACGTATGTTTCACGCCTCGTTGCGTCTGCGGCTGGCGTTTGTGGCGTTCGCATAAGTGACGATTGTCCCCTGCGGTGTTCGTCGATGAGCACGGTCGTGTACACGTTGGCGGCAAGGGGAGAGGACATCGATACGTGAGCGTTGGGAAAGGCAGACGGCCATCGTCAGTGCGTGGCTCCCAAGATATTGCACAGCCACCAACGCTGTGATCTTCCGCGTGGCGGTGTTTGTGGAGTCCAGTGGTTTGATTGACGTCATGTCATCGGAAGCGGCGTCTGGGATGGACGTTGGCGGCAGGGCAGGGCGCGGCGGCTTGACGACGACGGAGAGGACGGCTATTGCTGCGGTGGTTAGTGTCGTCCTCTTTCGCTGCCAGATGGCGAGCAATGACGCGAACTTCAAAGCGGCCGTTCGCGCACGGCGCAAGCTGTTGGCGCTTCCGACGACTGGGCCGTGCTTGGATGTGGCTGCCATTTGCGACGCGGTGCTGGAGGTCTGCTACGCGATGGGGTGCGGGGGGTTTCCAAGGGCGACTCCACGGTGGTGGGTGAAGCGGCGAACGGGCGGCACGTGGGAGGATCTGCGGCAATGTGATGACGCAACGGATGATTACTTCAAGGAGAAGCTTCGAATGTCGCCTCGTGTTTTCCGCGAGATCACGGAGACTCTTTCCCCACTCCTTCAACGTCGTGTGACGTTCTACAGGGTGCCTTTGCAGCCAGACCACATCATTGCCTATGCACTGTACAGGTGGGCCACGGGGGAGACGTACGACAACGGGACGTGTAGCTTCAGCATCAGGAGGGCTTCCAGCATCACGGCGGTGTGTGATGTCACGGCGGCGTTGCTGACTGCTTACCCCAACAAGATATCATGGCCCACAGGTTTGCAGAAGGCGGTCGTGTTGCGCGCCATCGCTGACAAGGGGTTTCCAAACTGCCATGGGTGCATCCACTACACACATATCTACATCGACAAACCCGCGAACGCCAACGGTAAGGACTACTGCGACAGGAGACGTCGATTCTCCGTGCAGGCGGAAGTGGTGGTCGACATGAACTTGCGTGTGCTGGACGTCTTTGTCGGTTATCCGGGGAGTGTGCATGACATGAGGATGCTGAACCTGTCGAGTTTGTGGGTGCGCGCCGAGTCAGGACAACTTTTCAATGGGCCGCATGTGATGCTGCCTTTCAGTGTGCGAACTAATGGCTACTTGCTCGGTGACAACGGTTATCCGCAGTCTGAATGGATAGTCGTTCCTTACGGCGGTCTCGCGCAACACCCGACGGAGGCACGCTTCGACAACAAACAGAAGACGGCCAGGGGAGCAGTGGAGAGGGCGTTTGGCAGACTGAAGGGGATGTGGAGGTTGTTCCTCCGCACCCACAAGTGCAACACGGACAGCTTGCCGCAACAATTCGTCGTCGTCTGCATCCTCCACAATATACTCATCGACGTCGGCGTCCCGTTTGACGACAATCTGCTGTGGGAGGTGGGTCCAGACGGCGTGCGTCGTAGAGTGGATCTGGGGATGCATCAGCCATTGAGGCCAGAGTGCATGGAGTCTTCGACGGGGGATGCGCTGATATTGAGGGACGCGTTGGCGGAGCGGATGATTGCGCAGTGAGGTTGGCCGTGTTCGCAGTTGGAGACCCGGCCATGAATGGAACGAGTCTGAGGGACGAAGCTGTGAGAAGCGGGGGAGCACGGAGGAGATCCGGTGGCGGGAGGAAGGGAAGGTGGCCGTCCCACAGCAAGAGGCGATCGACGATGGCTGTCCGGCCGTGGTAGCGTCGTTCGAGCGAGATGTGGCAGGCGTGTCTCGCGTGGTCGGTGCGGTTAGTTGTCTAGTGTTTAGTGGCGACGACTGGCTTATGTACGCTGTCGCTTGTTTTTTTTTTTTTTTTTTTTTTTTTTTTTTTGTTTGTTTGTCTCGTCCATGGACAGGGACTACGGACAGGTTAGCTTTATTGTTCGCTCAGGTAGTGTAGTTGGTGGTTGCGGATATTGCCGTTAGACGGGTGCGCGTGGCGGGGTTGCACGTGCCATGCGTGCAACGTGCAATACTTGTGATGACGGGGCACGACGGGCGAGAGGAGGGCGGGGGGAGGGTGGGGTAAGGGGTTTGATTGGAAACAATGCAACTTTGCTGGTACCTGGAAATGCTTTCGCATTCTAAGGGGAATCCCTTTTTGAGATTTGAGTTTTCTTCGCTCACAACGGTGTATGCAAAAAACAGTTCATTCCGCATTTCTCTTGTTGTTATGTTGAAGGGAGCTGCTATTGCATGGGTTTGCAACACAGTTGTTTTGGTCCTTCGTTTCAAAGATTGCTCACCGCTTTGCCTTCATCGACCTTTGCGTTTCCTGTTCGTTTACCGCTCTCGCTCCAATCTGGTGTGTTGTATTTTTTTATTTTGTATTTTTGTTTTATTTTTGTGTATTTTAAATTTTGTTTTTT